TGATAGTTCTATGGTGGATACAAGACATTGTCAGCGAATACAATTTATTATTGAGGCAATTGCTGACTGGCGCTTTTCATATTCTAATTGTAAGTCCATTATTTATACAATATTGGCAACGGATTTGTCCGTTATTTCCCAATCATGACAAGAAGCACACGGCGGGTGTGCCGGTCGGCAGGGGATCCTCACTTCTCCATGGCACCTGATCCCACTTCTGATGTTCTGGAGGTCTTTGTTTGCTGTGCTTCTATTTTGTATATTTTTTATGGATGTTTGATCTTGAATACTAACTAGACAGTGATTCCTTATTTAACAATTTCATTGTGAAATAAAATTTTTAATTTAGGTTTTAAAAATGATTAAAAGTACACGATTCTTCAAATGCCAATTTTATTAGTTCACGCCAACTGACATCAAACATAAAGCCTGCTGTAGGGAATTTACAGGTGTATATGCAGATTAGGACTCCTTAGTGTCAGACACAAAGGCAGACACATGAGATTTGCATGTTGATAGGTCACATTGGCTCCTGATCTAGTTCTTGACGAAGTTTTTATTCCGGTAGTGTTATCATGAAATTAACTTTACTAACATTCAAAAAATTATCACAGAGAAAACAAATAGAAATGGAAATATTTCATAATTAACGCAATGACTTCAACTTTCTAAAATATCTCAATTATGTTGGTTTTACTATATATTCTTTCCTTTACAATGTTTTTATAATTCCCTGCTTCAAAAGCAAGGTAATGTGAAGAAATTATTATTCTGCTTCTGTGCTTTTTTTTATAAAGAGGAAGTATATACTTAGATTGGGGTATAAAAAGGAGTTTCTTTATTCAATGACATATGTAATTGCCAGCGTTGGTAGGTAAAAAAAGTAATTGACAATGGTCCTCACTATAGAGAAAACTAAGTATTACATACTGACATTGAAAAAAAGATATATTATTAAATTTTTCGGTTAGAGAAAATCTATGTTTCTTCTTATTTTCACAGATTTTTATAAGGCGGCGTTTTGATATCACCATTTCAACTGATGACATCACCTGTTCGAATAAGTGATATCAGCTATTCAAATTTTGATAAGTGATATCACCAGATCATTTTGAATGGGTGATATCGCATATTCGAATAGGTTATATCACCTATTCAAATTATCTTTGAAATAACAACGGCTCCCAAGACTATAGATCCCGAAACCTTATTTACTCTCACTTTCGTTTTATACCTCATAATTCCAGGAGATAATGGATAACAGTTTTATGCATATAATTTTAAGCAACCCCAAAAGAAATTCATTTATCTAACTTGTATACTACAAAATGTATAAGAAATATCATGAAAAACGCATGAAAACTGGATAGTCCGAATTTTTTGGGCTCTAATGGTAATCTTTATATTATATAATAGGGAACATTCATTATTTATTGTTGTAAGAAATTCAAATAGTTGATATCACATATTCGAATTTGTGATGTCACCAATTCAAATTGAATAGGCGATATCAGCATTAGGTGACACCACCAATTCGAATAACTTATCTCACCTATTCAAATAGATCACTTTTGCCAGTAAATACTAAAACAGTGCCTCAAAGATGTTACTTTATTGCGCAAAATTTTCACCCATAGAAATTAAATCATTAATTTGCCAGTGGAATTTTTACTTTGTCAAAGTCTACACGGTGACACAGATCATGAACAACCCTTTAGGCACTACCATGCATAATATTCAAGCTATACATGGGTCCAATTTTTATGCGATTTAATTCTTTTAAAACTACATGTATTTAAGACTTGCTTAGTTCCGTTAGTAAAGCTTGTTTTACGAAGGGATTAAGATAAAAGCAAAGAATGGTCGACGTTTTGAACATGTTTTTGAAAACATGCAGATACTGTGAAATCACTTATTTTCGTGGGGGTTTAATTTTCGTTGTTTTAGACCAAAGGAGAGATCCGAGAATTCATGACCACCAAAATATGTAAAATTAAATACAGATTACTGCTTCAACATTCTCTGTCAATGAAATGAAGTCCTCAGAAACCAAGATTTTTTCTTGAAACCTCGAAAATTTGACCCCACGAAAATGTTTTTTACATTATACGATGATCGCGGATGTATGTAATAATTATACTGAAAGAAAAAAGAAACGCAGGGTGAACTTTTGAGGTGAATTAAATTTGTTTTTCTTGAAATACTTTTTAGTTTTCCTATCTAACTTTTAAAATTGTCTTTCAAAAAGAAAAAAACAAATTCTCATATGATTATGTCTAATTATTCATGAGTTATTGAAGCTCAAATGACGATACCCCCCCCCCAAGGGAAAATCGAAAACTCTCATTATCTACAATGTCTATCTCGTGCATCTCTCAGAATCTTATTTCTCCTTTGCATGGATTTTCATCAGATCTAGAGTGTTTATCTTTCAAACCCTGGCTATATTAAGCTAGGGTTAACACGCAAAAAAAAATAAGTCAAGCGGCGCACGCATGCGCCAGTGAGAGGAATACAACAGTAAGTTGACTGGCTCAAAAAACCAAATAGCAGAATTGTTTTCTTTCAAACTTCGTATGAATGTAATGATTATAATCGTGTACTCTATAAATGGCTGTTTTTTGTGGTAGTACGGTGGCGATTAAACAGGTGGCAGGACGAACAACCCGATGTTAACGTGCCTCTGTTTCGCGTTATCGTTATCGTCACGGTTGATCGAAAACCATTCCTGGCCCTCTCTGACAACGGGTAACACGTTTTATGGGGGAAAATTTACAAGAGACTGCTTAGTAAACCGTTGTTGGCCTTTTCATTAATGCCTAGGTCACATTTCCCGGCCGGTAGTCGTAGACCGGTGGTAATCGGTAGTAAAGTATAAGTCACATTATCCAACGATGGGGTATACGATGAGAAACCGATGCGTTTTTTGATGAAAATAGCGTGGTTGCCAGCCGGGGACCACTAGTGATCGGACGGTGACTGAGTCTTTTTTGCGAATCGGTGGGGTCATCGGTAGGAAATAATTCGTAGTTAAAATTCAGCGATGTCTCCAACGATGCCTCACATCGCTCCTCATCGGTAACCCATCATTAACACATCTTTCAAGGATCGGCCGATGTATGGCCTAGCATCGTCCAATATCCGTTGAATCTGAGGTCATCGGGGAGTTAAGTGGTGTTCAACAGATAACGACCGATCATCGGTCGATGTTCGACTAAACATTGGCCCGTAGTCGACCGATGTACGAGCGATGTTCACCAATGTATGAGCGATGTAATATACATCGGCCGATTATCTCGGAACATCGTTTTATGATTAGCAATTCATCGCTGGGCCTTTGTAAGTCCGACCGGCAACCACGCAATTTTTCTCATAAAACGCATTGGTTGCCCGTCGTATGCACATCGCTGGATAATATGACTGATACTTTCAGGACTACTAGGCCGATGTGGACCGATGTTGGGGCATCGTTAACACCACGGACTACTACCGATTACCACCGGTCTACGGCCACCGGCCGGGAAATGTGACCTAGGCATAATCCGTGGTGTTAACGATGCCCTAACATCGGTCCACATTGGCCTAGTAGTCCTTAAAGAATCAGTCACATTATCCAGCAATTGGTATATGATGGGCAACCAATAATGCGTTTTATGATAAAAATGGCGTGGTTGCCGGCCGGATTTACAAAGGTCCAGCGAAGCATTGCTAATCATCGAACGATGTTCCAGGGTAATCGGCTGATGTATATTACATCGCTCATACATTGGTGAACATCGTTCAAACATCGGTTGACTACGGACCAATGTTTGGTCGAACATCGACCAATGATCGGCCGTTATCTGTTGAACACCACTCAACCCCCCGATGACCTCAGATTCAACGGATATTAGACGATGCTCGGCCATACATCGGCCGATCCGTGTAAGATGTGTTAATGATGGGTTGCCGATGAGGAGCGATGTGAGTCATCGTTGTAGACATCGCTGAATTTTAACTACGAATTATTTCCTACTGATGACCCCACCGATTCGCAAAATGGCCCCAGTCACCGTCTAATCACTAGTGGTGCCCGGCCGGCAACCATATCATTTTCATAAAAAAACGCATCGGTTTCTCATCGTATACCCCATCGCTGGATAATGTGACTGATACTTAATCAGGCAGTTCAAAAACAAGACCCCATTGAACTTCTGTAAACTGTGCCAAGATTGCAATAAATTCATAATGTCTCTAAATATTGAAAAACGGTGTGCATACCTCATATGCATCAAATAATGCAACAAGATTTGTGGACAAACACGTCGTTATCAAATTGCACGTGTTTTGGGCTTTTTAGCGTTTTCCCTAAGTGACGTCATAAGTTTTACGGTTGAGTAATTCTGAATACTGATTTTGATGCACAGTAACTCAATTTCCCTTCTGACCAATTTTCGTAATTTTCGGTCATATGGTCAATTTTTTATCGACAATTATGCTACCCTGCGTTTCTTTTTCCTTTCAGTATATATCATCTTATGCATTTTTTTCAATTATTATTGGTTTAAAAAAATGAAAAAAAAAATGTATGCATAAGATGTTAATTTGTTTACATGCTGTATACTGTGCATTGTACATACATGTACATGCACGTTCACGTGTTTGTTCTGTTATCAGTGAATCCTCAATAAATTATAAAACTCTATTAATGTATTCATAGTTTGGATTTATTAACTTTAGTTTGTCCCTGCATTTTTAGTCTTTATGATAGCATTATAAAATAAAACCAACAAACACATTTTTTGTAGAGTAAAAATGTACAAGAAATTGTTTATTGTAAATTGATAACTTGTACATCTAAAACACAACATTTTGAAAATCAAAAATTTCAACAGAACAGATTTCCCAGTAGCAAACCATATTTGTTAAGCTTAATTCTAAAAAGAATTATTTTACTTACATATCAAAATAAAGAAAATTTCAAATAGTTTTATTCTTCTTGCTTTAAAAAAAAAACACGAGAGCAATATACAATCAATCAATCAAAAAATATATTACAGAATTGCGAGTATAAATCACAAGGTTATAAATAATTCGACTGAGTCTAGAAGCTATGCATGACAAACAACACGTGCATCCTTATAATGTCTACAACCCGAAAAATTGATACCATAAAGACTCATTTTACACTGCACTAATGAGGTTTCACCTCCTGTACATTCAAGATCATCCATCCAGATTGTGCCTTTTCCGCCGGTGGTACTTGATCCTTTAAGTCCCTGTGCAGACCTTTGGAAAGCAAAAATAAATAAATCTTTTTTTTTATGCATTTAAAAATACAAATTATGTGCAGCAGGAATTGTTTGAGCCTCATCTTAAAACCGGGTTACGGATAAATAAATACAATTTGAAGTAAATTTGTGCATATCAAACGATATTGAAACAAGGTTTAAATAATTTCCATATTTAATTGCAAAACAAAAATAATGGTATTTTCTATATCTTACATTAAAAAAATTCCCTTTTAAAAATATAATTAAACCCCAAAACCCAGCAGTTTTAACCTTTCAATGTGTTCGGCTGAGAAAATTACTTTTCAAAGCTCTGATCCTTTTTTCAATTTTTTCTTCTTCTTATACAATTCTGGTCTATTAATTAAACGAAATTGTATTAATTTGACGTTTTTTAAACGGCTATTGGCCAAAAAAAACCCCAAATAAGATATCTTATTTATTTGTAATAAAAACATACTCAGTCTGCATGTAATAGGTCATTCAGGGCCAATCGACCACTATGGAATTGATCTAACAATTTAATTACGATTTTGACCCATTTATTTGCATTTTTCACAAAGATTGAAGTTATTCATATACAAGTCAATTCTGAGGCCAAGACATAGAAAAGAGTTGTTGTTGACAACAAGGACTCATCTGAATGAAAATAATTGGAAATTATGAAATCACAAGCACTAACTATTGACAAGTTAAATATATTTTCTTGTCATTTAAGTTAAGTCAAAAGATAGCGTCGAAGGGTTATAATATATATATATATATATATATATATATATATATATATATATATATATATATATATATATATATATATATATATATATATATATATATTAAAAAAAACTGGGAATAGCTTGTCAAAAGAAATACACATATGAAGCTCTAGCTACATGTAAATGAAGCACACTGTTCAAAAGATATGTCCAAATAATTTTTTGCAAAAGTACGTCAAACTCCCAAAGTCACATTGTATCCACAGAAAGTCTTTTTGAATAGAAATACGTCTGTCAGAACTAAAGGGAGACAAGGCACATGTCACATGATTCAAAGGACCGATTACATCATAGTCTATGTTGATGTACTTTTTAGACATTGTTAAAATCAACAGTTATTGTGTATTTTTATTCTAAAATTGTCTTGATAGAACATTTATTTAAAAAAAAAATATTCAAGAATTTTAAAGACATTTACAACATTTAGATATTGTGAAATCGTCAACTTCTCACATCTCTTTACCTTTACCCAGCAGTCTGAAGTCAGTGACGTCATAGACGTAGTGTTTGAAATCTTATAGCAGTGAGATCAAATTCACATTAGCTGAACCCGTCATGACCAGTTATTTCATAATATTTTCTTTTGCTGTGTTTTTTTTCACTAAGCCAGCTGTGAAATTGATTTGAAATATACACGGAGAAACTGGCGTTAACGCGACGTACGGTAAAGCTGCAGCAACATTAGTAAAAATGCAGCGATATAGATTACAGTGTAGCAAGAAATTCAATATTGAGTATACATGTATTTTAGTTGCTTCAAATCAAGTAAAATGTAATTATAAGGAATTCTTTTTAAGTTTAGTGTAAATTATTAGTGTGTGAATCACAAAGACTTGCACGTAGGCATATTTTTCATGAAGCGCTAGCCCCTCATGAAATATGCCTACGTTACAAGTCTGTGTGATTCACACACCAATAACTCAGACAAAACTTATAAACATTCCTTAAATGAACATGTCACAGTCAATGTATCTTAAGATTGTTTATGTTTTCGTGTGACGTCAGAATTGATTTCCTACGTCTACGTCTAATTAATCGATATTGATATTGAGGGTAAGCTTCACACTGCGATATTAATGCAGTAAATAATTACGATGAAGGATTGACATTCGGTTTTAAATTAAGAAATATTTTTTGTCAAAATATTGATTTCTGTTGATTTTATTTTCCAAAAAAAATTTTTGTAGTCAAGGCTTCTTTAAAAAATGTAGAAATTATTCCACGATAATACTATGTGAAACTAAAACAATTGCTTTCAGATAATTTAGACATGAAATAAGTGAGTATATAATGTTGTCTAACATAATGATTATTTTTGCTTTAAAATTCGCATTATGGACTCTGTAATAGACCTGTAAACATGAAGTATCGAAACCCTGTACAAACACTAAACAGAACGATATTTGAGAGGTTTTGAGAGCGATATTGAGGACCGTCTTAAAATGTTAAGTACATACTATTTAGTAATAGAAAAATACGGAAAAAATCATTGACAGGATTTTTTTCAGCTCAAGACCCCGTTTCTCCTTAAATGCTCTAGTACTAACTGTTATAAAGGGTGTTAAGAAAGTTCGTCCACATTTTTCCTTTATTTTCAAAAAGAAATACGATGAGAAGATATTTACAATTTGTTATATTTCATGTTTGCAGACTCCATTCTTGCTACTGATAAGGCTTTAACTGTCTTTTGTTGAATCAATAAGGGGGAGGCTTTATTAAAATTTATTAAAATAAATGATGTCTGTTCAGAAAAATTAAGGATGATACATATTTGTGACTTATATTAAGCACGCAGGTCAAAACATCCTTTCAAATACTATGAGAAAATTATCAAATCTGTGAAATATTTCAAAATGACAAACCTATTCCTTTGAAAAGTGATATATCGTTCTTATACCTACGCTCATCCGTTTGTCTGATGCAAGATAAGCTATGAAGAAACAAAAGTAAACTATCCTTTATTTTCACTCAAAATGACAAGCATTTCCATCATTCGGGTGCTTTAAAGATGTTATATATAATTTCATATTCAAGAAAAATCCTTTAATTTCCTGCTAGACATTATTTGCTATAAATCTAAAGCACACTCTTGTGATTTTGTCAGACTTGAAAGTTTTTCTCTTTAGTTAAGCACTATACTTTAAAATTCTTGAAAATATTTCATCCCGGAACGAACTTTCTTAAAACCTCTTAGTTGCAGAACTGTAGCTCTTCGAAAAAAATATATTGACAGACCGGAGAGCTGCAGTGCCACCAATTTTAAAAAAATACTGAATATTTATTGCATGCGAAAGTTGCGTTTACTTCTTGATTACTTCTTCCAAATTCGTACCTCAAACGCAAAAAAGATAAAATTAATATCAATTTGAAAATAGTTTTTACACCTCTATCAAGTACTTTGGTTGTCGACATCTGAACGAAGTGCGTTGGACCGAATCATTCTGCAAACCAAAATGGCAGTTTAAATAGACGAAATTTTTTGTGATCTCAATCTCAGGAGGGCTATTAACATCAATTTCAAGAAGTGAGTTGTTGTGGATTCAGTTAAAGAATATCTTAGGAAATAGGATTACGCGATTAATACAGTAATATTGTGAGATGACAGTTTAAGAACATTAAGAAACAAATCGAGAAATGTGGGTGGCAATGTAACTCTCCGGTCTGTCAATATTCTTTTTGACACATCTGAAGTAAACGAAAGCACCAGCCAATCAAATGCTACTGGCAATGTGAATTTTTTTTTTTTTTGCAGACAAACAAATAGACGGACAGGACAAAAAATTTCATACCCCGATATATACCTTTCGATATCGGTGGTATGTGTAATTTTATATCTATTATGATACCCGTTATATCCCAGCATTCTACACACAACTTGAGCCTCGTTATCATCCCAGCCATTGTCACACACGGTACCCCATCCTCCTCCTAGGTTGACTTCAACTCTACCATTCATCGGTGACGAACCGCCAGCCAGACGTATGTCCACTGAAAAATCAAATTAAAAAAAATAATTGCAGAAAAGATTAATATACATTAGGTATACCTTTACTCAGATGACAACAAATTCCACTGATAAGAACGAAAAACCACATGATGTACATTTACACCTATGATTCATGTGTTTGATTTCAAATAACTACAAGGTCAATGACCTTCTTTTTATGCTAGTGGCTCTTCAGTATTACTCAGATGACAACAAATTCCACTGATAAGAACGAAAAACCACATGATGTACATTTACACCTATGATTCATGTGTTTGATTTCAAATAACTACTAGGTCAATGACCTTCTTTTTATGCTAGTGGCTCTTCAGTATTTCTCGGGGGAAAAACATCATTTTTTCAGACAATGGAACGTTTTTTCTTTACTCACAAAATATTACAAGCAACAAAATTCTTTGAATAATTAAATATTATAACAACTGGACAGCATTGGTAAGCAGTGCATCATATAAAGAAACGATTTGAGTTTGGGCCATTAATTATTGCGAATTTCTCCTGTCATATTTATATTTTTCCCCATTTTAAATCATATATTGAAAAAATATGAATGACAAGAACTCTAAATTATTTATAGCCTTAGACTACTTTTGTTGCCCTAATTCTCATGGTAGTAATATTATATATTTACATTCAGTGTAATTTTTCTTATGAAATCCATTAGAAATCCACGACGTTCAAATTCCAATAACACACGTGAAACCTTGTCAACGCGCGTTAGAATACACAGCAGGAGCTATAAGCATTAATTTTTAATACAATACTAACGCGCGGTATTCAATTTGTGGCACGACCAGGTGTGTTATAGGACCGACGACATCCAAAAATATGAATTCAATCCTTAAATGGGGTCAATGATCAAATTATTGAGATACTTCTGGATAATAGGAATAGCAAGGACACATCAAATTTAATATCTGTGTCCGTGAAAATCATCCGGGACTACTTGGAAGATAAAGCGACTATCATTACTTTGGAAGATTTGGAAAGCGATTCTAACGAGAAATTAAATTCAGTATTAAGGAAATTCTATGCGGAACTTAAAAATTTACGCATTATTCATAAAAGTAAACGGACAATTTTGTTTACGTCTCATTTTGCCATGTTTCTTCACAATAAGAAAAACTAATTCTGTACTGTATTTCATATAACAAAACAGTTATTCACTGTGTTTTCAGGCAACATTGATTATGTTAGCCCCCTCGGAATGAAAATATTGCCCTACGCTTCGCGTCGGGCAATATTTCGTTCTTCGGGGGCTAATATAATCGATGTTGCCCCCAACCCCAGTCAAAATTTGTTTAATAATTTATGAGCTATAACACATTCAATATTTGCAGATTGATTGCTATAAATATAATATCATGTAACCTTCACATTGTGATTACTATTGCCAGAAATAAAAGATCTTTTGCTGAAAAATTTAAACTTTAGTACGAATTTTCTTATTGACTTTTGTTACTGTTAATTTTTTTCGAAAAAAAGTATATTACATTATTTTGAATTAAAATTTTGTTATTTTACCCAGTTAGAACTACGGGGATTGATCCAAAAGTAATGTCACAATGTCCATATCTTTTATATTTGGCGTCATATTATCAAATACAATATACCAAAAGATGCACAAATATAAGTCTAATTAACATTGAAATTTTAATTTCTTAATGTTTATTGGAACTTATGTTATAGATATTTAAAACATAGGGCATAAAGTTTGTCGCCGCGTCACAACAGAATGTCACGTTTTACTGTGTATTTTCTTTTAAAATGAAAAAGACAAACACATTAAAACGATTCTTTTAAAAAAGCACCTAATCTTCCAATTTTTCAAAAGACACAATTCTCTCATTTTCAAGTCTTTAATTGAAAGTAAATGACGGCATTGGTATTCGTGATCATAAACATTGTTTTTTTACTCTGTTGAATTGAACAAAGGATTGTCGAAATGGAAAAAATGGCTCGACGAGTTGTAATGCATTTGTAAAATATGGGAATCATCAAAAGTGACATTAACTTATTTAATCAGACTTACAGAATAAAGAATCTAAATTAGAAATACATCTTAATAGATGGTTTCAGTAATTTTGGGTGGACGATTGGTCACTGAATGATCAGCAGAGGACAAAAAGACCGAAAGATAGGAGATCGGACGGAAACGTTCAATTGTGTCTGACATCAAAAAGGACAGACGTATAGAATGACATGCATATGTGAATTTCTAAGTTTGTCTTTGCTACTATTCAAAATTAGACAGAGGGCTTTATTATGAAACGAATGAGTGTATAATGGTACCATGAACTCTTAAAAAAAGTGGAATTGGTGAAAGCGTTTGCGAATCGCAAATATTTTTTAATAAAACGAAGGGAAAACGCTTAAAAGTATGACGATGCGTATCCGTTATGTTTATGACGTTATGTTTATGTGCGGCGACAACCATAAACGCACATTGTTTAAAATCCTATACTTTGGAAAGTATTCATCATTTTCTTTTGAATTTTTCAGGTCTGCTTTGAAATAAATAAAGCTGCCATCATGTAAAAATTTGTTGCTTTACGTCGATTTATAGCAATTTCATCAAAGTTGTGACATTACTTTTGGAGCAACCCTCGTATTTTCGATTTAACATATTATAACACTTTATTTAATCGCCCTTCTGTTCTCTGATACCCGAGTAAACGTCAATTATATTTCTGTAAAAGTGTTTGTGATAACTCACTGCAAGCAACACCCGCATCAAACTTATGTGCTTGAATAAGGTTTGCATCTGTAGTTTTGTTGCACTCATAGAGCGAGCTCTCATGTCCAGTACAATATATACCAAAAAGAGTCATAGCCACAGGCCCTGATCCTTTTCCAAAATATACTGGAGATGATTCGTAGATAGCAGCAGCATTTTTTCTTTTCAAAAATAAAAAATATATATATAATTAGAGAATTGATGCTTGATTGAGTGAAGATAATCATAGTTTAGAACCTACCTGTTCCTCGTAGATTTTAGATACATCTCGAGTGTACATGTGCAGAAGTCAGTGCAAGGTATATTTTCCCGCACTGTGGAATTAATCACATGGAATACCATAATGCATTTTACACATATGTAAAATTTTGGCATTAAAGTGATAATCAGACTAAAACATGTTAATTTTCCAGTATCTTAGGTGCATAAAATTAAATGTATTAAGTCTCTGTCGATTATGTGATCTTAATAACAAATAATTTTGTGAAAGAGTACTATAATTTTATGCTAATGCAAGTTCATTCTTTGACAATACTTACGTCGGATAACCCAGCATACGACATACTACCTGGGCAGCCTTGTCATCAAAATTATGGACACCGTAAGTGTACCTGTAGCCAGGTACAGTGGCCCATGTCCCGTTATAAGACACTTCAACTCTACCCATCCAACTGGTTGATCCATTTACCAATCTGATTCTTCCTGAAATTAAGAATTTTAATGTATATGTAAGACGTGCTGCTATATAAAAAGTTAACTTGATTCTTCCTGAAATGAAAATTAAGACATGTTGCATTCCGGGTTACAAAAGGTGATTCAGTTATATAAACTACATGTAAAGAAATGTTTCAATCACTAATATTAAATGTTTTGTCAAAAGAATGACCCGATTTATTGATTTTTGTACCATTCAGTCAGACAAATTGTCTTCCAGAGTAATTTTGATTGAATATTGTATAAAAAGATTTTTGTAAAAATATATATTAGCACTTATTAATGTTTCATGATCAAAAGTAGTAAAAATTCACCATCAAGTAAAATTATGACTGACATAATATTGTCAGTCCTCTCCAATTAAATTTCAAGTAGATTATACAAACGGAAAATAGGAATTTTTGTTATTTTAATTTTCATTACCACCCAACTAAAGGTCTATTTATACAAATTTCTGTGCGATATGGATTATAAAAGTATTCGTATGCTTAGAAACAATATTTTTTATAAAAAAATATCTAATACAAATTAAACGTGTCTTTAATTTGTGATTGTTTAAATGTGAATGTTATTTATCATTTCTTTGAGCACATTTTATGAAAATTATTTTTTTAATGGAAGATTTAACAAACTTAAATTCTTTTTCTAAATTAATTTATCTTAAACCACTTTATTATATCAACGCTGAGAAAAAAATTCAATAGATATATGGTTTCTTTTAAGATATATGATTTTACGATGTATTCTTTTGTAGTTTTTCGTGATTAAGCAAAAGAGTGAAATAAGTGGATATAACGAACATTATTCAATTTAACAGTCATTTAAACATACTAAATAGGAGCGGAGCAAACAGGATACCTTCGGAACCTCCAAAACATCACAGATAGGATCAGGTGATATTGAGGGGTGAGTATATTTTATTACCAACTGTAACTTTATATTCATAAGCATACCTGGAAGGACTTTATCATATTCCAAGGAATGAACACGCTCTGTTAAGTTATGCATCATTGCGTCCAAAGATGACTCATGATTGGATATCTGTGATACAATTTGCTTTTCGTTTTCTAAAGCATGCACACGATATGAGATATTTTTCAGCAATGCATTCATTTGCTTGTTTGACACCTTTTCATTTTCTACAGCATGGACACGATTTGAGATATTGTTCAGCAATGCATTCATTTGTACATTGTGACTAGTCATTTGCACGTTTGACACCTTTTCATTCAAGGCAAGGGTTAACTGTCGAAAGCCATTTTCCATGGTATGGAGTTTCGCCATTACGCCTGTTAAGTTTGTTTCACTGACTAAATGTGAGCTCGAGTGATCGTTGATTGCGTTTTCAAAAGTAAATTTCATCACAGATATTTCTGCATGCAGTTTGTTGATCTCATTAGCAACGCTAATATTCCTTCCAGCCTCTAGTTCAGTTTTTAAACGATTCATTTCCTGTGCATTTTGTTTTACGGTATTCTTCAACTGAATCAATTCTTGCATTAGAAAAAATAGAGTATTAGGATGAGCTGCTGGCGTTGTTTGCTCATGGTTATTAATATTTTCTAAGAGAATACAGTTTGCCACTATAATGTTTGTAGCCAGGAAAAACGTTATTAGAGAGATGACAGCCATAGCGTTTGTCCCATGTATGACGTTATGCTACAAAATGGAGCTTACATGTTACTATCAAATTCAAAATCAAATATTATGATTGGAAAATTATTTGATAAGTTATTGTTTAGATAAAGAATGAATATCATTGTGGGAAAACAAACAAAATCTCATGAATAAAGATAAGGAATTCTTCTTTTCAAGTTAACAGTGGAGTTGAAAGATTATTTCAAGGAGATCAAAACAATGAAAAATGCTTTAGTATCTTTTAAGTATAAATTTAAACTCATAAATGATAATATTATCATGATTGTTGTTTGCTGAAGGCATCATTGAGATTTTTCTTATCAAAAATCCTACAAAAGATTCTTTTTAAGACGTTCATGACTGTATTGCTTCCAGAAGAAGAATCCTCAAAAACCGAGGTCAATTAACCTTAATAGTCTGCTACATTTCGAAAGTTTTCAGCTTTTTGGAATAAAAAAAATGGGTACAGACTGTATAGTTTGTTATTTATCATCAGATTGCGTGATGTTTGCTTGCTAATTTCAATGCATTATTATTTTGAAAAACCTCCATACCATCCACTAAGTCCCACGCTTAAAGAAAATTGTCATAAATAGTTGGATGAACAATATATACGTGCAGCATATCTAAAGCTTCAGATATATAATAATCTTATTCAATTTGTGATTTTAGAATAAATCTATTGTTGAATTTTATAAAATAATGAAAAACATTGAAACTGTGAAAATTATTTGTCGGGAAAATAATATTCTTTTTAAAAAAGCAATGCGGTTATCATGGGAGGCCTATAATTCTTCGATACTTACATGCTTTCCGCAACAGGTCTAGCTGCTGATAAATTGTGACACTTAAATCATGTTTTTGACATATCCCTTGACTTAATAGACTTATTGTGTGGGAAAAAAGGAATTATTTGTCACGCATGTGGCATGTGAAAGTGTATTTTTAAGGTAAATTAAGGTAAAGTGGGTATTTGCACCTCGTTCAACCACATTTTTTAAAAAAATAGGTGATAGGTATGTATGAAATTGGTCCTTTTTGAACTCTTTAGTATGTGTCTGCTATTGCATTGCATAGCAAACATTTCCAAGAATTACGAGATTTTCGCAGATTTACATATTTTACATGAAGTTTTCTTTAATGTTAGATGAATTAAAAAAAACAGTTTGATATTACTAATACTGTAAACCAACATTTATTCGCTTGCGATAAAGAACATTATGCGGTATATTGCATATGTTTGCTCCCACAAAAATCAAATTTTGAAAAATTCTTGAAATGTATGAGAAATATTAATTAACAGAACATATGATAGTTTCAAAGTAGTGTATTGACAATTTTTGCTTTTATGATGTCACAAACTTGTCCGACTTTATATCATTTTTTAGAAAGAGGACAAAATGGACAAAATTTCAATAATGTTAGCATTAAAATTTAAAGAGCGAAAGTTTGCTCAGGAACAATATTAATATATGTCATTGATATTACCATTGTTAACATTGTATCAAAATATTGAGCCTGATCAGACCTGCACTCGGTGAATTTTACTCAAAAAATCGACTTAAAAACATACATTTTTCTTTAAAAGGAATCTTTACATGTCAAATTTGTAGAAAAGCATATTATTTCGAATAAATTATACAAACGACGCGTACGAAAAATTGTTTTTGAGGTTGAAAACTACTATAAATAATTATTTTGTCCAGAAATTTACTGGAATTGCTACATGTAGTTTGTAAGTGAATGCTGACTTAAATGATGATTGGAATTAGTATTTCCCTTTTGTCTAAGCGGCAAAAAAGAGTAAAATTACACAAAATGCTCACTTTATTTAGATTTAAGATTTTTAAAAAAGAAATATTGATATTAAACCAAGTTTTTCAAGGAACTGCGAACGATAGTTTTGTTCTTCTGCCTACAACCAATTCGATTTTCAAAGGTTTACATATTTGAATGCATGATTTTCATATTAATGAAGTTTCAGAAAACATTTATTTACTCATTTGAGAAGTTTCAGAAAACCTTACTCATTTGAGAAAACAAAGAAAGATAACATGTACTCAATGATTATGTTTTGCACCTGAGAAATCAATTGAAAACAGAATTTTTTTAAAAACATCATATTAAAGCTTTTTAAATTTCAAGGGGTGCGGGGGGATGGGGGTGGGGGGTGGGGGGTGGGGTGGGGGTGGCATATGTTAATAGGCAAAAGAAAAACCCAAAACCAACAAACAAACAAAAAAAGAAAATAAATGCGTAGTTTTTCACCATTTCCAAAGGTGAAAGGTATGTTTACTAATTATAAATTATTAATAAATAACCATTTAACTCTTCTTTGAATTCAACAAAGATCATTTTAATTGCCATATTGCCTTAAGCATTGAATTTCCAAAAAAGGGTATGAAATGTTGGCGGAAATCAAACATAAAGCATGCGTAGTTCTTATCAATGGAAACTACCAAAGTTATTTGAAAATGAGCTTTTAAATATGAACAACAATATTCCATCCATTACATTCTAAGCTTTTTTTCCCAAAAAGAAAACGATTTACGTTGTTTTTGTTTTGTAAGCATTGTATATTTCGTTCATTTAAGTTACAAAAGATAAGGCCTAAATAATAGAAAATGATGCAATAGGAGATTGAGTTTTAGACTTAAGGACAAAGAATCTTTACAGGCCAAATCTGTAGAAAATCATATCATTTCGAATATACAAACGACGCGTACGAAAAATTGTTTTTGAGGTTGAAAAATACTGTACATGTAAATAATTTTTTCCAGAAATTTACTGGAATTGCTACACATAGTTTGTAAGTGAATGCCGACTTTAATATTTTTTTTGAATTAGTATTTTCTTCTCATCTAAGCGACAAAAAATACATAAATAAAAAATAAAATTACACAAAATGCTCACTTTGTTTAGTTTTAAGTTTTTTTTAAGGAATATTGATATCAAACAAGTTTTTCAAGGACATATATATGAAGTTTCAGGAAGCTTTACTCATTTGAGAAAACAAAGAGAGATTACTCAATAATTGTGTTTTGCACTTGAGAATCAATGGAAAACAGAAATTATTTTAAAAAAAAACCTAACGAAGCTTCTTGTATTTCACGGGAAGGGGGGGGGGTATATCTTACATGTAATATGCAAAAAAACCCACACAAACTAACAAACAAACTTTAAGACAAAAAAGACGAAAAATGCTTAGTTTTTCATCAATTCCAAAGGTGTGATTAATAAATAATTAATCAATTTCCATTGAACGTACTCTTCTTTTCATTCGACAAAGATCATTTTATTACCATATTGCTTTAAGTATTGAATTTAATAAATAGTGTTAAATGTTGGCGGAAATCGAGAAGTACATTAAGCATGCGTAGTTCTCATCAATGGAAACTTCTATTTGAAAATGAACAACAAATACCCGCATGCAGTAAATAGATATTTGACTTCTTTTAAGGAGGAATGCCACACCAAATTTCTATTTTATAGATCTGTGAGTCAACCTTTTTAAACAATGGTTTCAGCATTGAAAGGCCGACATTAGCTCTCAATTATTTTATATGAATTTTTTTGTATTTTTTCAAAGAAAATGAAAAAATTATTTCCATCAAAATAAGACGCTTTCTTGTAAAATTTTCGCTGTAAATTAATGCATCACATTAATATCTAATAAAATATGTGTAGAAAAGCCGTATAGATATGAAATTTTTTTAAATAAAAAAATATTTATGAAAATAAAACAGATAATTTGTGAATATTTTTTTTAATTTGTGTTTAAAATTTTCTTAAAACCAGTCACAAGTGGGGATAATATGTCCGTTAATTATATTTTAAAAAGAAATTGAAACGAAATGGCCAAATTTTAGAGAAATTAATTTTTTTTAAATTCTGGCCGATCCCGATCACAATTAAACCGATCCAAACCATAATTGTATATTTATTGGAAATAAATACATTTCCCCAAGAACAATAGTCTGATTAAGTGTAATAACGATTAAAATATTAATGAATATGACAAAAAAATAGATTTCTTCATTGTAAATACAGTAAATTAGCATTTAAATTAATTTTGTATTAATTTTGATCGGGATCAGTTTAATTTTGATCGGGCTAGGTCTAAATATTAAAAAAAATAATTTCTTTAAAATTTCTCAATTTCGATTCAATTTCTTTTAAAAATATGATTGACAAACTTGTTATCTTCAGTTGTGACTAGTTTTATGCTGATTTTAACTATAGATTTAAAAAATATTCACGAATCATGTGTTATATTTTCATAAATATTTTTTATAAAAAAAATTAAAAAGTCTAACAATCCTTTCTATACATATTTTATTAGATATTAATATGAAACATTCATTTACAGCAAACATTTAACTCGAAAACATCTTAGTTGAATTTATTTAATTTTTTTTCATTTTCTTTGAAAAAATACAAAAAATATCATATGAAATAATTAAGAGTTAATATCGACCTTTCAATGATAAAACCCTCGCGCTTGTTTTAAAAGGATGACTCAAAAATCTATAAAATAAAAAGTTGGGGTGGCATTCTACCTTAAATAAGAACAAGAAAAATTTATCCGTTCCATTCTAAGCTTTCTTCCCAAAAAGAAAACGATTCATGGGGGTTTTTTGTTGTTGTTTTAATCATATATTGTTTTTACAAATGCATTTCGGCAATTATTATTGGTAAAAGAAGTACTAAAAGTATATTTCAGATTTTACTTATTTGACAAACTGTAAACTGTAAAGTATACATACATACATACACGTGCGTTTGCGTTTTGTAACTGTGATAGATGCTAAATGTTTAATTACAATTCTCTACCACTTCTGCGTGTATTTAAAATTGAATGAAACATAATCAGCAACAGGCCCTTGGGCCACATCGCTCACCTGAGAAGCTTTAACCATGCTGTTCTTCACCAGATTTTCTTGTCCAGTGGTTCTTGAGAAGTTTTTTTTAATGTTCTTCCCTATATATCTCTATGTTAAAGTTTGATTCCCTATTGTAGCCCCGCTCACCCCAGGGGGTTATGATTTAAACAATTTAAAACCTACGCTGACCCAGGATGCTTCCACATAAGCGTCAGATTTTCTGGCCCAATGGTCTTCAGAAGAAGATTTTTGAAGCTTTTCTCTTTATATTTCTATATTAAACTTTGATTCCCTTTTGTGGCCCCGCCCTTACTTCAGGGGTCATGATTTGAACACTGCCTCAGGATGCTTCTACATACATTTCAGCTTTTCTGGCCCAGTGATTCTTGAGAAGAAGATTTTAAAAGATTTGTCCGAAATATTTCAATGTGAAACTTTGATTCTCTATTGTGGCTCCGCCCTATCCCCGGGGATCATTATTGATAATAATTGAGATTCTACACTACCCCAGGATACTTTCACATAAATTTCAGTTTTTCTGGCCCCGTTGTTCTTGAGAAGAACATTTTTAATTACCCCACCCTAATTTTTGTCTTTTTATGATTATCTTCCCTTGTGAGGGACTTTGACCCTTCATTTTAATAAATAAAGTTTCTCTTTACCCAAATATACTTTGTACCAAGTTTGGTCAAAATTGGTCCAGTGGTTCTTGAGAAGAAGTCTAAAATGTGAAAAGTTTACAGACGGACAGACAGCTAGAAAGATGGATGTGATCAGAAAAGCTCACTTGAGCCTTCGGTTCAGGTGAGCTAAAAACAAAAGAAAAAATATAGTGTTTTAAATAAAAGTTCAATAATTTTTTTTTTACTTTTTATTTTACATGAAAAAGCAAGTACAAGATCAAAGGTTGAAAATAAATAAATTTAAATGAGGCTAAGAGCTATGCTTGACAAACAACACGCGCATCTTCCTTATCATGATTACAATTCGCAAAACCGATACCAATGGGATTCATTTTACACTGCACTAATGAGGTTTCACTTCCTGTACAATTAAGATCATCCAACCAGATTGTGCCTTTTCCTCCAGTGGTAGGTGTTCCCTGAAGTCCTTGTGCAGACCTTTAGAAAGCATAATCTTGTTAATAATAAATAATAGGTGAAATGCAATTATATGTGAAACAGGAAATTACAGACCAGAGTATTTGTGCATTTTTACAAATCCAATGGATTAAGATACTTTGCCTTCTTCGAGGGGTTATCAAAAAGTTCGTGGCCATAAAATTAAAACCGCTCAAGGTAAATCAATGAATTTTGAAATATCTAGTAAGCATCATCTTTTCTATGCAGAGAATAAACCACAAATCATTAATTTTATTTTTTAATAAATAAGTAATGTTTTTGTAAGCAATGGTATGTCCAAGCGGCGCAACCACGAAAACGAAGTTTTTTTCGACCTATGTGTATCTGAGAAAAACTCATTTGATATGATTATTTGATATCCAAAAATCCCTTCAATTCCAGTATGTGTTGGGGCACAATTGTTCCATAAAATATGAAATTTTCACTTCATTCTGGAAGTTCTATGAAATTTTATCCTAAATTTTACACGGAATGTCTAAACAAATGAGGCCTTGAAAATGACGTCAAAAGGGGGGGAGGGTTTTCCGTTTCCAACATTATATAAAGTTTTGCCCCTGTAAAAAATAGCATAGACCTAAAATATGTTGAAATTGGCTACAAAGAAATAATATGCATCCAGAGTACTTGTCTTGTAATGTCAAAAAAGATTCAGAGAGTAAAGGGATACACAGTTAATGTCGATTTGCAGTCAAAGTGTGAAAAATCAATCCCGTCAAAAATGACGTTGATCGTGTGTTGTAGATATTGAACTCCCAAAAGCAAAATATGCTGGCACAATCAAGCGTGGGTCTCTCCCAATGTATTAATCCATCTGGAATTTTATATTCATTGAAGGCCACTGTTAATGACATTGTAAAGGCATAAAAACAAGGCGGGTTTAAGTCCTAACTCAGCTCCAGGGAATCTCATCAAAAATGTATGAGGTAGAAGAAGATGACATTGAAAAAACAATGACGTTATCGGACGTCATGAAAATAAACGACGACAGCGCCGGTGATCATATAATGTCGTTTTCATTTTATAATAATTTGGCAAATAATGAACGTATCAGGCTAAACTATTCAACATTTCTCTATTTTGTATTGTTTGATGTTCAATATAAATTTTGAAAGCACAGACTACATAGTACTAATTTCATAGCCTCAGTCCACGAACTTTTTGATAACCCCTCGTATTTATGCAAATGATTCTTATGTTTCTTTTTGTGTTGATAATCAACATGTTAAATTTAACTTATTCAGCTTAATAGTAGTATGTATGAGGTTCCCATTTGAATGAGTGAAATACTTTGTTAATTAATTAATTAAAAATTATAATTCTTTCCTTAGTAAGAGTAGTTAAACAGCTCAAATATTACAGGATAAAACGCTTTTTTGAGAATTGATCTATTTGTAAACTCATGCCATTGTACTCAAAAATGTACATAAAAAATAACAAGCAAATTCAAAGAATTGTGGTCCCCCGCTTTCAGTGTCTTTGTGGATGAGATGTTATTTTTTTATGACGTATTGTGTGTAATATGAACATCCTATCATATGTCATTTATTTAGAAAGTAACATTGAAGTTGATTTTTTTGAAGGATGAAAACCCTAGTCCTGACTGTTAAAAGTTATGGCCAAAGTAAAATGTTTTTTAAATTGATTACATATGTGAAGTATGAAAGCCCTAGCCCTTACTGTTCAAAAGTTATGGTCAAGGTTAAAGGTTTTTCATAAGTACGTAAATCTCCAAGGTCAAGCTCAAAAGGTCAAGGTTGTTGGTATCCAATGAAATGTCTTGCCACAAGGAATACATATGTGAAATATAAAAGTCCTAGTATCTACTGTTAAAAAGTTGTGACCAAGGTTAAAGTTTTTTAAAAGTAGTTAAAACTCCAGGGTCAAGGTCAAAGGGTGAAAGTTATTGGTATCCAATAGAGGGCCTTCTCACAAGGAATACATATGTGAAGTACGAAAGCCCTAGCCCTTACCGCTTAAAGGTTATGGTCAAGGTTAAAGTTTTTACAAAGGTACGTAAATCTACAAGGTCAAGGTCAAAAGGTCAAGGTTGTTGGTATCCAATGAAATGTCTTGCCACAAACAACATATATGTGAAATATAAAAGTCCTAGTACCTACTATTCAAAAGTTATGGCCAAAGTAAAAGTTTGGAATTTTTGTGTAAAAGTGGGTCAAACTCCAAGGTCAAGGTCAAAAGGTCAAGTTTGGTGGTATCCAAAGAAAGGTCTTGTCACAAGGAATACACATGTGAAATATGAAAGTCATAGCTCCACTAAATCAAAAGTTATGGGCAAGGTTAAAGTTTTTGTGACGGACAGACTGACAGACGGACAGACGGACAGACGGACAGACGAATGAGATTTAATGTCCCCTCGCTTTCGCGAGAGCGGGGGACAAAAATAAGCACTTTTTTGTAAAATTGTGAGTACAAGGTCATAACTTTACTTATCGATGTATTTTCAAAAAAGAACGTTTAATTCCTATAATTCCAATCGCGATATTAATTAAAGCATTTCTCTTTGCTGTACAATCAGTATCTGCACAGCGTGGGAATATTTTTGAAGCGATGTGGAAATGAAACGAAATCGAGATGAACATCGAGAAAGGTCGACTTTAATTTGTAATATTCAATAAAATAAACTTATAAAAACAATTTTTTGTTGAAGTCAACAAACATAGTAGATACAAGTAGACCAGACGAATTCGTACATAACAACGACAAATGCTTTTAAACGAAAGAGGTATGGACGACTCCTTACTTTCCGCTGAAGACGGGACTTGATATAAGATATACAATCATGAATTTGATGCTAATGAAAATCTAAATAAAAATTGAAAGTGACTTAAATATGCTGAAGGTAATATTCTCGTCTTTCAGTCCTGAATGTGCGCAGTATTGTTTGTATTTAATTTCAAATTTAATTTTCTCTAATTGTTAAGATAAAAGCAAACAGTAACTGTTGATTTGTTTTATTTTTTCCACTAAAATCTTAATCAAGAAAGTAGCTCTGATTAAGAGACTAATCGATGTGTAGTTTTCCTTGAATTTGTTATCGTACAATCAAAACCATATAGGAGTCGTAACCGGGGGGGGGGTTGAAAGAACAGACATTATATATTCATGGAAAATTGAGATTTACCTTTTCTGTGGGTTTAGCCCCAACTTTCGATCAGCCCCCCCTTTTTTAATTTGCTTGCGACGCCCAGGAATACACAGGGAATTAATAAACACTGAAGATTAGAACTAGGAGACTTATTGTTCACAGAACAATAAGAGGTCTTTCCACCTTCTTTGAATTTCAAATTTATTTATACCTGAATCCTTAAAATTATATCCCATGAAAAAGAAACCAGAATTGCCTTAAAGAATAGAAAAAATAAAATTAAAGAAAAAATTGAAAAGACCTTGACCTTTGACCTTGAAAAAATATTCAAGGTCAAGGGTCATAATGCAATTGACCCCATGCTGCTATGACTTATAGTTTTAAAGTTATAAGGTTTAATAGTAAGTACAAAGAAGTTAAAGGGCAATAACTCATATAAGGGTCATGAGATCCTTTTGCACTTATACAGTGGAGTTAGGCGTAAAGACCCTGAAGACGTTTGTGAAGATTTGGTGACTCTACGGTCTATAGCTCCTGAGGAGTATCGAAAAATAGGTTTTTGACACAAGGGTCAATAACTTTTAAAAGGGTTAATGTTAGGGGACAAGAATGAAATCTTTGAAACAGTTTTAAAAGTACATAGTAATAATGCAAAAACATTAAGTATATGTTGAAAGACAAAAGATACAAAAAGAGCTTCTCATTTTGGGAATGACCTTGACCTTTGACCTTTACATGATTTTTAAGGTCAAAGGTCAATAAATCTTTTGGAGTTGGTCCCATGTCTCTACGACTTCTCGTTTTGAAAATTTTTAATTATTTGTAAAATTCATAAAGTTTCAGGGGCACTGACTCATTGAAGGGGTCATGAATACTTTTTCAATAAAGGATTTAGGGTTTTTCTAATTAGTCATTGGTGAAGGTTTCATTCCTCTACGATTTACGGTTTCGGAGGGGTAGCAATAACAAACATTTTTGCGAAAGGGGCGATAACTCTGAAAGGGGTCGAAGTTCATATACGCAGGGTCAAACGAAAAAATCATTTAAGGAGTACATTCTTATGAACTATAAATCTCTTCAATAACTAGTGAAACAAAAAACCATTCGGCGGAAAAATAATAAAAATAATAATAAAAAACAGAACAATTTCAATAGGTCTTTCCACGGAAAGGTGGAAAGACCTAATTATTGACTTAAGAAGTATTGGCGTTTCTTTTCATAGAAATAAGTTAATTTAGATCAATGGTCTTTAATAGAAGATTTATTATATATTTAGGTTTAATTGTGTTTTAAGGTTTTACAATCCGAAAATGTTTCATTTCTTTCAGTAAGAATGTATTATGTGTTTAGAAGGTCATTTTACTATTTTACATACGTGTTTCGCGGAATAATCCGTGTTGCGCAGTGATTTATATACGACTCGATTAATCTTTAACTCCCCCTTTTAGGTTCTTGCATTGCCTTCTTTTTCCTTTAGCGGGGCACTGACATTCGCCGAATTAGCTTGCTTAACACTTATATTTCGACTTTCAACAGTTACCTTCCTTGTATAAGTAATTTGGATATTGGCCCATTAAACAATATTGAATCTTTAAAAAAATAATAATTGGACATTGCCCTTTAAACAGTACTGCATTTATGTGACATTGCCAACAGTTTGAATTAGATATCGACCCGTGGAACAATAATAAATATTTTTTGCATTTATGACATTCTTAATATTGATTTCGCTTTCACAACACTTTTGATGGGATATTGTAATTAATGCTTTTACGTTATATTGATTTTATATTGGGCATTCAAAAACTTTACTAAGTGCACAATTCAAGACCATTTTGTTGTTGGCAGCTTTAAACACAAGCAGAAAGCCGTTTCTAAATGTGTTAAAAATCGTGTCACCTTTACCAGACACGTCAAATAAACTAGAAACTTGTGTTTTTCTAACAATTAAGATACTCTTAGTATAATACATATTATAGCACTGGTACAATTCTCGGGAACTGAATAGTTCAACAAAGGAAATTAAAGACTATTGAGTAGATATAATTATTTGTTACATGTAGGTAGCCTTAATAACACATTAAGAAAAATCTCAATATGATACCCGTGATATCCCAGCATTCTACACACAACACGAGCATCGTTATTATCCCAACCATCGTCACACACAGTACCCCATCCCTCTCCTAGATTCACTTCAACTCTACCATTCATCGGTGACGACCCGCCAGCTAGGCGTATATCCACTGAAATAATGAAAAATCATATTAGTAGATTGATTGATTATGTGTTGTTTAACGTCCCTCTCGAGAAGGAACCTGAAGATATAGAAGACTTTTTGAAATTAATTTTTTAACAAATAATATTTATATTCTGATGTAAATGTTGCTGCAAATTCTTGATTTGTACACTTACTACAAGCAACTCCAGCATCATAATAATGTGCTTGAATTAAGTTTAGATCAGTAGTTTTATTGCATTTATAAAGCGAGCTCTCATTTCCATTGCAATGTAAGCCGTAAAGATCCATATTAACAGACCCTGCTCCTTTCCCCCAAAATAACGGAGATGAGTCATGGATGGCAGCAGCATTTTTCCTGGAGAAAAATAGAAAAAAGTATGAAATGAAAATCATTAAAGAGTAGGTAGATTTACTTAGCAAGCAGAGTGATGTAATAAACGTTTTTAAGTTCCATGTGCCCACCAATCACAAAAGATTTGAATAAACAAATTAAATAGATCGCCAAAAGAAAGCAAAATACTACATATAACAAACTTAATATATGTGCTTGACCTATTCACAGAAATCAAGCTTTTTTAGGACATATACCACTAAGTAATTAAACTCTAGGGTATTATTATGGACATGGAATCCTAGTGTCGAAGGAAAAACCAGTTAAAACATATATCCATGACATATTTTTAGTACTTTCGTTTTTAGCTTTACTGCTCAGAGACCAGAAGAGCTTGCTTAGCATGCAATAGTAAGGTGTCTTTCGTCCGTCTAGCTGTCTGTATAGCTGTCTAGCTGTCCTTCTGTCTGCAGAAGCTGTCCTTCTGTCTGTAGACAATTTTCCAAAATGCTACTCCTCCTACAGTTTTGGTCTGATTTCAAAATAACTTGGCACGCAAGTAGACTCACTAAGATACATACATGAAATTTAGTACATTGGTTTTTGCCATAATTGTAGGAGGAGTAGCGTTGTAAAAATTTGAACATTGTGTGTTTCTCTTTTTACCACTAAACTCAAATGTTAAATGACAATGGGAAAGAAAAACAGAAAAAACCTGAGCATCGTGTAGTTCAAGCAGAGAAGAGAAGCCACGTAGCATTTGACCAGGTTGACAGTTTGATTGCATGTTGATAGTGATTGCATCAGGTAATTATTTAACTACTCATTTTATGTATTTGTCTTTGATTGCTGCGTTTAACATTACAATCATAGGCGCTAGCCATGTAATTCTGTAAATAACGAAGGATAATAAAATACACCGGTATATAGGTCTACCCCCTCTACACTATAAAATCAACAAGGCATGCAACTACCTGCCATATTGGATTTCGCCTGGAACCTCTTACTGGTTTACTTTAAAGGTTTCTAGGGTATACTGGGCTGTTCATCAGCTTCCGGTACTCTAATTTTTTGAAATGAAATATTTGCAAGCTTTAATCTAGCACCATTACGCCGCTTTCTCGTGTTTTCAAACATTTCTCTATTACTACGTCTGACATAGCTGATCCCGGCCAGAAGAAGTATATGATTACAATTACCGAAAGTTGTGAATGATCTACTGACTCCGGACTTAAATCATCGATGAATAAAGAGTACGAAGGGTGTCAGGTGTGACTAATATCCCGACATTGCAGAAAAAGCGGTCATCAAAAAAATTCTGAAAAAGATCTTTCTCTTTTTGTATTTAAATAATCAGAAAAATTGTCATTTTTATGAAATAGTCTGAATTGTTGATTGACACCTAGGCAGATTTAGCTTTATTTAACCCTTAAATACATGTACAAAATATAGAAATAATGAATGCATTAAACAGATAAATGTCCAAAATATACAAAACCATCATGTTTAATTTGTTGTACATGGATGAAATCATTTTTCTCCATAAATTAATTTCATTAAGAATTTTTTTCTGATTACCTCAGAAAGAATTTTAAAGTACACTTTTAGGCAATAACGAAAGGAAGGGGTTTTAATTCTAAGAGTTAGTATCAATACATATTTTAAAAACTTCTTCCTATAAATGTACTACATGAATATGTAGCTTCCATTATTTGATACTTAAGTTTTTCTGACTGCCAAACTTAATCGAATGCCCTTCTCAGAGGTACATTTTGGTTCTTTTAAAAAATACATGAACTATTTAACATTTGTATGATGTGTCAATGAATAGATTTAGATTGAATGGTTTTTAAATGAGCTGGAAATATGCTTTCAACTATTCAAGTCATCTTCTGTGAATAACGTTTGATTTTTATTAATACATGTAACTAATTTTCTTATCAATAAAAAAGAGATCTAGAATGTGCATGAAAAGAACATTTTTTGTCAAGCATATGTATTTATATAATACAATATGTAGATTTTATAACAGTAACATATTGATTCTTCAGTGATTATGTTGGAAATTTATTCATTTCATAGATTTTTCTCCTTCCTTAAATGCTATTGTAAGTAAAATGAACAAATATGATTTTTGATTATTAGTCATTAATTGGAAAAGAACATAAAAAAGTTGCTTCAAAGCTCCCTTAAAGATTTGTGACATCAATCAAAGTAGAGAACATCTTTTATCAGCTCAAGGATATTAAAAAAAATTGGATGGATCAAGCAAATGTGTAGAACCAGATATGGCGATATCAATGGAGATTTCGAGAAGACTTGTAATGCCCAATGCACGTTTTTATATGTCTACAGAAGTACCTGTAATGGTTTTACAATATCCTATCTACAGATTATTTTCCATATATTTATAAAAATAAGAGTCTGTGAAGATTGTAGGACATGCTCTGTTTGTCCATCCTTGAACTTGTATGTGTTCAAAAAATAAATGTATGCATCATAGGTATTAGCTGAAGGTGGCATCTGTCTATACTCAACAATTTTTAGACGGTGGCTACATATAGCCACAGGCTATTGCTGCTGGTCATTGTAAACACACGGGGACCCTAGCGGCGATTTTTGCAGAGTCAAAATAATGAAAGTAGACTTATTTCGATGTTTGAAAATAAAATGTACATAGTTAACAAATACTTTGGAGTTATTTTAAACAGTTCATTGATGGATACAAAGCCTAATTCCTGATAATTGCCGTTATCAATATTTCTCGCCTCATGAATATTCATTGAATTACGCCGAACTAAACTAACTCGTACACCAAATGACTCGTATATGCAAACTACAAATATCAACTCGTACACAATGTTTTCGTTTTTCTCACATGTTCGAAAAATCAGTTCGAATGCACATTGTGTTTCTTTAAAATTACCGAATATTTGTTAAAAAATATTTGAAGATAATTGTTTCACTATCTAACTTTGATATCAAATGCTAGGCCCTAGTAATAAATAATTGCTAAACAACACACGGCTGTTTCTTAAATACTGCTTTGTGGATTTTTTTTTTTACAATAAAACTTTTTAAAAAATTTATTGTAATTTAACAAAGTCTTTCGATTGTTTCTTGTATCTGTTTACAATGCTATATTAGTAAAACGAATATATGTATTTTAGGAAAGAAGAAAAAAGATCACTACATCTTAATCAGTTAATAAAATGGTTGTTGGAGGTATATGGAGCCATAAAATTTGTTAAGTTTATTACCATAAAATAGAGACAGAAAAATATTTTGTTATTCTGTTTTTTCTCTCTTTTTTCGATCAGTATACGAGGGTTGTCGTGTACAAAGCGTTTTTCTCGAAAAATAGTGGGCGCTGCAAGATGAAATTTTTAGCAAGTATTTATTTAACATATTTTAATGTATCTGAATTCTTTTGATAAAATTTAGACAAAACATTAATACTTTATTAACATGCTTTAATGTTACACACGATAAAAAACCCCGGTTATAAAAATAATACATGAGTATTGTTTCGAAATAAATGTTTTAAATAGATTTTGGTCTGGAAAGCAGTTCAGTTTTTTCCTCTTTGGTGTAAAAGAGAAATGGGATTTTTCTAAGATAATCGTTTTAATCAAATCCAAGGCAGGGGCGTAGCAACCCTGGGGGGGGGGGGGGGGGCAGGGGGGCCTGGCCACCCCCCCCCCCACTTTTTTCCAGGGATGGGGTAATTGAATAAAGTAATTGTAATTGAGTGTAATTAATTACATTTTTCAAAGTAATTGGAAGTAATTTGTATTTGAGCAAGCCTTCAATTACAAGTAATTGAATGTATTTAAATACATTTCAAAAAAGGTCATGTATTTTCAATTACTTTTCAATTACATTTCAATTACTTTTTTTTCAAAATGAAAGTTTATATTTAAAAAGGTGTCTTATACTGGTGGGTTTACATTACTTATTCCCATGTTTTATAAATCTCAGTTCTCCCTATTTCCACTTGCAAATAACAATGATTGTGTAGATAGTTGATTTGTTTTACAGCAATTAGACTAACTACAAACCCTTTTTGATTTACCTGTATTCTATCCATTTTAAGATAAAAAATAATGAATGGAATTGTGATAGACATTATTTATTTTCTTTAAAAAAATGGATTTGAGAAAGTAACAAAAAAGATATTGCCATACACCATACTGGTGTAGCATGGGCTTGTGTTTGTACAATACTTAATTGTCTCATAATGTTTACCGTAATTTGTTTATACAGTGTGTCACACTAATTATAAGGTAAAGGTCTAATTTTGACCAGGTGTGAACCCCTATCATACCGAAGAACAAAAACACTGAATGAAAGTTCGAAATTGATCGCTATAGAAAAAAATCTTATTTTAAAAAAATCTTTATTTTTTTTTATAAAAATAAAACTCGAAGTAATTGAAATGTATTTAATTACATTTGTCAAAGTAATTGAAAGTAATTAATTACATTTGAAAAAATCAATGTAATTGTAATTGCAAGTAATTGACAAAATTATCAATGTATTTGAAAGTAATTAATTACATTTCAAAGTAATTGACCCCAAGCCTGCTTTTTTCTCAACCTTACTTATACTATAGGAAATGTTAATTGATAGACTGGTTGCCCCCCCCCCCCCACCTTAGACTTTTATCGATA